ACCGGACTGCCCCCCCTCAGAAGGTAACACAGTAATACTAACCATTGTAGATCAATTTTCCAAAGCAGCACATTTTGTTCCATTGAGTAAACTACCCACAGCATTCGAGACCGCTCAACTCCTGGTTGTTCACGTTTTCTGTCTACGTGGAATCCCCACCGACATTGTTTCTGACGGAGGACCCCAGTTTGTGTCGCACGTCTGGAAGGCTTTTTATAATGCCCTAGGAGCCAAGGTCAGTCTCTCTTCTGGACATCACCCTCGGTCAAACGGACAAACAGAGAGGTGTAACCAGGAACTGGAGGTCACTCTCAGGTGTGTTATAAACAATAACCCTTCTTCTTGGTGTCAACATCTTACCTGGGTAGAATACGCACACAACTGTCACACCTCCACTGCTACTGGTTACTCACCTTTTGAAGCYTCTCTTGGACATAACCCTCCACTTTTTCCCAGAGACGACATTGAAAATATGGTTCCTTCTGTCCATCACCATATACAAAGCTGCCGACATATTTGGAGTCAAACTCAAAGAGCCCTTCTTCGTACAGCACAAAACAAGAAGTTTGCCAACTGACATCRTTCTGCTGCCCCCTCCTATTAAGTGGGACAAGAGATATGGCTCTCTACACATGACATTAACCTTAAAGATTTCCCTAGAAAGCTCTCCCCCAGATTCATCGGCCCGTTTCCTGTGGAGAAAATCATCAATCCTACTGCTGTCAGACTTCGCTTACCCGCCACTATGAAGATACATCCCACCTTCCACATCTCGCAGCTGAAACCCGTCTCCATGAGTCCCCTAAACCCACCCCACCTCCCGCCCGGCTTTTGGATAACCAACCAATCTACACGGTCCGTCGTATCTTGGATGTTTGTCGCCRAGGACRTGGACATCAGTTCCTGGTGGACTGGGAAGGATATGGTCCAGAGGAGAGGTCATGGATACCCAGGTCCTTCATCTTGGACCCCGATCTCTTCACGACCTTTTACAGGAATCATCCGGAAAAAAGACTTAATCGCCAGGAGGCGATTGTTGAGGAGAGGGTACTGAGGCATTTTGGTGTTCTCGCCCCCTACCTCCCGGACTTGGCACTGCGCTAATCAYCCACACCTGCACCGAGTTTGGCTCCTCACCTCCAGGCTTTATAAGGCAGTGCTGGAGTTCATCTCATCGCTGAAGCATCGCCTTTGTTTGGTATGAGCTCAGCCTGCTACCTGTTGTCTTCCTGAGAAATTATCTAACCTGTGTTCTTGTTAGTTASCTGTTTCCAGAAGCGACATCCAGCACGTTTACCTTCTGCCTTGGAACCCGAGCCAACTCACCAGGATCACATGCACTGCCTCCCAAGTCACACTGTAAATAAATCTKCACCTGTAAATACTCACCCGTGGAAACTCACCTGTTGGACCTCCTCCTCCAAGTTGCATCTTCTCCAGCCCGTAAGCCACCTCTTCAACTACTTACCTGCTCAAAGCCAATACTGGAAAATCTGCCTATTTCTCACCTCTGCAAAAACTCTGTTTCAGGTCCCGTCCCCGGATCCCAGCACCTGTATTAATAAAATCACTTACCTTTTATATMTACCGTCTCAGTCTCTGTTTATCATTAGTACTTGCTCACGTTGACCTCCTCCTGAAAACCTGATAATGTACTTTTAATCATGGCGTTCCACAAGGCTCTGTTCTGGGCCCACTTCTGTTTTTCTTTTATATTATCTCACTTGTATTATCCAGTTGTTTTCAGAAATTTCCTCACATTTATGCTGATGACATCCAACTGTACCTGTCATTTAAACCACACCAGATGGACAGGTTGGCTGTCCTTGTCCAATGTTTGTCTCATATCAATCTGTGCTTTAGATAAAAACATTTTTGCTCCATTTATGAATCAAATATTTCATAGTAACACGAATATACAGTAATTGTTTCTTGTACAATTACACAAAAAAGTGTTGTTTTTATTCCCCA